GAAAGTTCCACAAAGTCAACTATCACTGCAGCCCTCCACCAGTTGGGGCTTTATGGCAGAGTGGCCCGACGGAAGCCTCTCCTCAGTTCAAGACATATGAAAGCCAGCATAGAGTTTGCCAAAAAACACATGAAAGACTCCCAGACCATGAGAAATAAGATTCTCTGGTCTGATGAGACCAAGATTGAACTTTTTGGCGTTAATTCTAAGCGGTATGTGTGGAGAAAACCAGGCACTGCTCATCACCTGCCCAATACAATCCCAACAGTGAAACATGGTGGTGGCAGCATCAGGCTATGGGGGTGTTTTTCAGCTGCAGGGAGAGGACGACTGGTTGCAACTGAAGGAAAGATGAATGCGGCCAAATACAGAGATATCCTGGAAGAAAACCTCTTCCAGAGTGCTCAGGACCTCAGACTGGGCCAAAGGTTCACCTTCCAACAAGACAATAACCCTAAGCACACAGCTAAAATAACAAAGGAGTGGCTTTGGAACAACTCTGTGACCATTGTTGACTGGCCCAGCCAGAGCCCTGACCTAAACCCAATTGAGCATCTCTGGAGAGACCTGAAAATGGCTGTCCACCAACGTTCACCATCCAACCTGACAGAACTGGAGAGGATCTGCAAGGAAGAATGGCAGAGGATCCCCAAATCCAGGTGTGAAAAACTTGTTGCATCATTCCCAAGAAGACTCATGGCTGTAGTAGCTCAAAAGGGTGCTTCTACTCAATACTGAGCAAAGGGTCTGAATACTTATGACCATGTGATATTTCAGTTTTTCTTTTTTAATAAATTTGCAAAATTTTCTACATTTCTGTTTTTTGTCTGTCAAGATGGCGTGCTGAGTGTACATTAATGAGAAATAAAATGAACTTTTTTGATTTTAGCAAATGGCTGCAATGAAACAAAGTGAAAAATTTAAAGCGGTCTGAATACTTTCCGTACCCACTGTAACATCAACACTTTGGGGGATCATTAAGAATTGATGCATATTTTGGGCATATGATGATTTACACAATGAAATAGAAAAAATCCTATGCTATAGAGCATTATAGCACTGAACAACGGTCAGTGGGGCTTTTATTTTTGGAATGATCTTACAACTTAAAGAAACTAGTCAATGGAACAAAGTGGAAATATATCACCAATACTTAAAATACAAATTCAAGTGCAGTAGAGTTATTACTTCCACAATTCATTTTTGAGTTAGTTTTAAATTATGGGATCGAGTGACTCAATATTTTTGGGAGGATTAAGTTATGACAACTTTCTTCTTTTATTAAAATATGCTGTTAGGTTTTACAGTGTACAGACAGCAAGTAACTTGGGAATTTTATGGTTGATTTTTCTTACTGGGGTCTGTCTGCTCCAGCAATCTGTATTTGTATTTGTTTTTATTCAAGCTGTGTTAATTGCTTTGTGGTCAGACACTTATTTACCCATTTCCAAATTACTTCTGCACTTTTGAACAACTCTTAAAGCGGAGCGCAAGCTTGATTCGCAAGCAGAAGTGAAATCAAAATCCTGCTACTGCAGCCTAATAACAATTGCAAGAATCCACCGGGCCTGAAAGAAAACAACCAATCAGAGCCGAGAAAGATATTTGATTGTTGAGTCTCAATCCCAGGGTTCCAAAGTGTCTTTATTTGACACGCTGGGAATGAGACTCAACGATCCACTATCTTTCTCGCCATTATAACAAGGAGGAGCCAGAGGAACCAGGTTTTTATGACAGAGTATCTGTCTCATGTACTACTGATGTAGTAAACATTTCACCAAATATGACAAAAGGTTATTTTTATAGAAATTACCTACTGCAGCTTTAACCAACTCATAACTAAACAAAGTTGGGGATAGCTCACGTTTTTCTTCAGGAACCACTGACAGGTTTTGACTTTTTCACATTTCATCAGCTAACTTGTCTCATGAGCCCTGGCCCACCTACAAGTATTAACTACTTAAACTTGTACTGCACCTCATATTGGTGTGGTTAAGATAACACATGATGTTGTTTATCCTTGGAGAGTTTTTGTTTACAGGCTGGTGGGGCCAGCACAAAATAACAGTGCACCTCATGTGGGTAGGAAGCATCCACACTTTCACAACAGTAAACAAGGATAAACAAGTTATTCATTTATTCACATATGCTTTATTCACAATGCTATTTTCCTTCCTGCATCTACAAGGGCAGAGAGATCCATCCAACAGCCAAATTATTGCACAGGGTCAAATGCTGTGTGATCTGCACATGCTAATATATCCACTGTATAGCACTTATATTCATGCATTTCCAACCTTTTGCATATGTGTGAATGCCAAGAGCAGCTTAAATTCAAAGTGAACATAAAGTATTTTGCAAGTAAACCAGACTGTGACTCAGAGTGAGAGGAGGGTTGTAGCCTCTTCACTGTTGTATTGCTAGTTCTCCTCAGTGTTTGCTGTGTATGATGAAGAAATCGTGGGTGGGACAATAGATCGGCCTCGGGCCATCTGTCCAGCCATCACAGCACTGATCAAATTGCCACAAAACTTCAGAGAATGTCATGTGGTTTGTTTTGCCACTCTTAAAACTGAGGTTTTGGCCTAAAGGAGGAAATGTATTTGTCACAAAGAATATCTTTGAAACCACTAATCGTTTTTACTACATGAAAGAATGATGTGTGGCATTTCTCCATTGTGGCCTCAGGGGGTGAGAAAACCTTCATTCATCAGGTTTTGCCTAAATTGGGAGAGTTTTAATTTCAATACATCACATCTTCAACATTAATGTGTATGTAAAATGTATTTGTTAATTCTTCTTTGAGCTGCATTGGAAGTCTCAAAGACTACTGACTAAATCTGAAGAAAAAAAAATACATTGGGGAAATGATGCATTTCATACCCAAATTCACCGGCACGGCTGCGATGCATTCTCGCTTTGTTGCGGTCACCAGAGCTGATCGCACCCATTCCAGAAAATGCTCATAATTCCACCAGAAGCGTTGCGGCTTGTCCCAGGAGTGTCTCTCCACTCTGCTCAGCTGGTCTTTTTGTGTCTCGCAGCACAGAGCAGATTGCACTGGCAGGAAGTCAGACACAGAAACTGCGTAGAGAATCTGGTAAATTTTCTAACTAAAATGGAGAAAATTAAGATTGTGCCACCAGACCAGAAGATGGTCAGTCAGAGGAGATTTTAAACACTCTTGCCGGGATTCTGAAGACGCGCAGATCATGCGTTATGCAGGTTTGCTTTCAAGCATTTAAAATGGCACTGAATGACCCATGGCACTATTTAACTGTAGGTACCGCTCAAAAGGTGACATTCATCAACAAACTGGCACTGGATAAGAGAAACCTAGAAGGGTAAAGACGGACGGAATAAAGAGCACGACAGAAACTCAAACGGACAGAGGGAGTGAAATGAATAGAGATTATTTCAGTCAGACATATGTGATGGGTGAAGAAATTAGCAAAAGGTGAAAGAATGGGGTCATGTCATTGGAGCTGCCATTTGTAATGATGAGAGGGTATAAACATCCTGCTCACCTCCAGTATGTTCCGATGTGTCATCCCTATGATGAACTGACAACCCGTCCTTTCGCCTGGTGTCAGCTGGGATCGGCTCCAGCCCACCAAGATAAGCAGTTACATATAGTGGATGCTTTTTCTGCCCAAAGCTTTCTAAGCGATTAGAATATGATACGGCCAAAGTTGGTGTTGGATGCTAGCCATTATGGAGGAAAGAATCTAATTTAGCTCAACAACTTTCCAACTTTAAGACTAGGGTCACCAGACCTTCTTGATTTTAAGGGTTGTAAGAAAACTTGAAAAATATACACATGAGTAGGTCTATATCTCAGCATTTCATTCATTTCTGTGAAAAAAAAAAAATGAAATTTTCAAAGCTTAGACTATTATTTAAGATATAAAGTAAAGAGAAGACAGTTAAGACCTGAACACAAGCTATATTCACAGATCCTTCAATTTCAGCTAAACTGCCTCATCCTGCATTGGAAAAGTAGTTAAAACAACAGAAGAAAAAAATGAATTTGTCAAAAAAAAAACTATTAAGAATGTATGATTGAAAGAAAAAAAAATCATACAGAGAAAAAAAGTTCCTAAAAATATCAAATATCAAAAAATCTGCTCAAAATGAATCAAAATCACACATAACTGTCATAATTAGTCAGGGGTCATCAGTTTACTCAATGAGAGGGAAGGGTCCCTTAAAAAAGAGGGCAGGGAACCTGAGCTTTAAGAGATCTGACAGTTAAAAACCTTAAATACTTTACTTAAATACTATTTAAAGCCATTTGAAAAGAATGATTTCAAACCAACAAACTGAATTGAATGAAACATGAGAATGCCATCCAGATACGGTACATGATTCATATAATGACCAGATGTCCATTATAGATCTGAAACACTTTCAGAAGTTTTTCCAAGAATCCACATCAGTAAGATCTACTATCCAGTTACAATTCTGAATATATCAACTGATTTTATGAGGTGCCGCAATCCACACTAACATGTTGTGCAGGTACATATACAGGCTGATGTAGATGTCAAAATAATGGTGTTCTAACCCCCTCACGTTGGCATAAAGAGACAGACAGCAAAAAAACTGGAATATATTTTTTGTTTTTTTTCTGCTTTCCTCTGGGACATGCAGTCTCTGAATTGAGAAAACTAATAGAATAACGTGGTAAGAATTGAGGATGCATTCAAGGTCAAAGTGAAGTTCTCCCATTCAAAGGTTAAGGACAAGCTTTTTACAAGAACTTAGGGTAGAACTGAGACTGTGTCTGGGATGTCAGAACCGAAATAAAACCACAGTGCCTCTGTGCACCTTTGACCTGTGGAATCACTCCAGCGCGCACATACGCAGCGACATAACCACAACCACATGAATCATGTCAGACAGATATAGAGTGACAATGACAGGAGGGAGAGAGAGGGAGAGAGAGATGCTTCCTTCACTTCAGGGCTAAATAGGAGGGACTAGACCAGAGCGGGCTAATGTCCGCTGCGAGGGAGAGCGGCACACAGCGCAACATCTCCGCGCTCCGTCCGGTCACACTCCGCGCTCTCTCTCTCTCTCCAAATATCTGCTGGGTCTCCTCACCTCTCCACGAACCCTCTCCGGGCTCTCCACACTCGCCCCCCCCCCCGGCTCTGTACCTCTCTCTCTCTCCTCGCGGGGGTCTCCAGGCACGCGCCGCTCTTTGCGCACGGACTCTTCTCCACATTCCCACTCGTATCCCGCTGCTCCTCTTCTCGCTTCACTCCTCTGAGGACTCGGGAGGAGCGTCAGCCCGCAACCCCGGCCCAACTCTACTTTCTCTTTTAAGGTGCAGTAATTAGTCATTCGCGCTGAGCTCGGGCTGAAGAACAATGTGATTCTGGCTCATGGGGATTTAGTGTCGTGACATGCTTTCGGGACCCGGCGTCTCCACAAGGAAATGGTGAGTTCAATCCGCTTTATTCTCGCAGATTATCAGCCTGCTGCGCCGTGCGGGTCTCCGGGTCGCCTGACTCCAGTTGGAGCGTTTGACCTCTGTAGTTAAGGTGCCGCTCACAAGCCAGGGGATAGTGTGACCTTCCTCATGTGGAAAAAGTATTACTTTAATTTGAAGTTGAGAGGGGTAGCAGTTATAGTCCCATATTAGATATACATTTGTAGGTTAATCTAAACTTTGTGGCATTGTGTGATCGTTATAATGATGTTGTAGGAACGTGTGAAGGTATGTGCATACATCAGGTAAATTACAGATTCTAGTTGCTAAAGTTTGCATTTGCTGTGTAAAATGTGTAGAGGGAATATCACAGCCTGTAGTTTCCATGGGGTCTTTTGACCTCCACGCGCAGGAACTCCAATTTTCCCGCTTCATATCGATCTGTTTTAATGGGAATCACATAGTTTCCATACATGTGACTCCTGGAGTGAGCCCGCGCCTCTCTGTTCCGATCAGTAATCTATAAGGAGGGCTATAGATCCACAGAGTAGGGTGACTGTCAGCTCTCACATGTTGTGTGCGTGAAGAGACCCGCAGGATCCTGTAAGTGAACAGTCAGTGCTGGAAGATCTGATTATTGGAAGTTATTGTGTTTCTGTGCAGCCACTAACTGCGCTTGATTGTTGACTTTTTATGGGTTTGATTCGGATCTTTTATATGGATATGTGGTTTTCCTCTGTCCCTCTGCTCTTTTCTCAGGATGCTCTTAGCTGTTTTGTGACAAATCTTAAAATGAAAGTGAGTAAATATGCTTTTTATTTGACTTTCCATTGGTTTTCTCTTAAAAAAACGGAGATTTCCACGCCTTTTTAAAGGCAGTGAAGATTTCAGGACTATTTAATGTTTGTGTTTGGAGGTGGGAATTAGTAAATGAGTCAATGAGTTTGTGGCTGCTACATTTTAATTTTGATAGTATAATATTACGCTATATCGATTGCACTATGTTGTCAGATTCCTCTAAAATGTGCCTCTTTCATTTGTAAAACGTTCAAATGCTGTAGAACATTACAGACAGACAGCGGCTTGCTTGACATTCAGTGCTGTTTCTGAGATGTATTCCTGTCATTTGTACTTTAAACACTTCACTTGTACTTGAGTGATATTACTGTTCAGTCACTTCAGTGCTTTGATTATTATGGTTATGTAATGTCTATGGAGCAGACGTGCAGGGGAACGTGCCTCGATCAAAGGTGCAGGTACAGTGTGTCTCTGTATTGACTGATATGATGATCAGAGGATCACAGCTGTATCATTCACAGTTCACACTCTCTCCAGCTCGCCCACAGCCACTTAGAGCCTGAAGATAATGTGAGATGGGCTGGAACACAGCCAGAGTTCTCGCAATTTTACAGTCAATGCAAATGACTTCAGGTGTAAGTTCTACATCGTCGTGGGCGTCGGGACTCCACAGACTGACATGGCTAAAATCTGTTTCTAAAGTTTCTGTTCTGCTTACATAAGACACGCACATACGCAAGCACACACCCATTATTCACATTGGAACAGTACACTTATAGTCAGGCACAGAGGCATCAGGAAGAGAAGATGTCCTCTTTCAGAAGAGATAAATAAGAAATAGTCTCTGCTCAGCAGCAGCAGCTTTCTTGAATCGACTTGTGGATGTGAATCTCTCCTCCCACACCATAACAAGGAGAAGCTCTTCTGCAGAAGTGCCCGTGATTATGTCCGCTTTTATTGCTTTGCTTTCCTGTAGAGCTCAAGTTGGCCATTTTTTTTGGAAGTCTGTGTACAGTATGAATGAGTGTGTGTGTGTTCTGTATATAACAGTGACTGCCTTAAAACTATGCAAGGTTGCGTATATGCACAAATTTGTGCGTCAGTGTTTTCATGTCCACTGAGGCTGTGTTTGCACTGGCTTTTGAAATAAGTCTTTAATGAAAATGATTGGTTTTTGAGTCATAGAGTTTGTCCAGTTTGTGTTTGTTGCTGTGTAGGTTCGATCAAACCTACAGCTCATTTCCTTCAATCTAAATCAAACTGACTGACTAGCTGATTGGCACAGATTTCATTCATCTTCTCTTTGTTTCATGTTGGTATTTAATACTTTGGCAGCCGATCAGAGAGGAATCTTGAGATAAAATATCAGACTCTTGGGGAGAATTTGTCATTAGTTCTGACATTTTATGAAGTGTTTTCAACTGGGAGGAGGCCCCGGGGACCCAGAACACACAGGAGAGATTATATATGTCTTGGGGCCTGGGAATTCCTCGGGATCCCCCAGGAAGGGCTGGGGGGAGGGGGCAAGCTACCTAAGCTAGACTGTATGACCCAGATGTGCGCAAGTGGAAGAAATTAGACAAACAGATGCGTTTGTTTTCATGGAAAAACTATAAATTTCAGGAAGAATAATCAACAGATTTATTCTGCTGTGGTTTTCACATTGAACTGAAATGGACTTCACAATTACAAGTGAATCAGGGCTTATATAGAAGAGTTAGATGGAGTCATGGATGCACCATTGGTTGGACAATATTAGACTTTAATTTTCAGCAATAACTTTTTTTGCTGCATTAAACGATTATTGTCCACTAGAGGGCAGAATGTAGAATTTAAAATAGACTTGCATCAACGAACCTTTACTTTATCAACTTGTCAAGATCTTCTAGCTCACACCTTAGCATACATAATTTCTCTCCACTGTTTCTTGCTGAGCAGGTCATGTTTAGGGGGTTGGTAAAAGCTATATGGACTATAGCCTGATGGATCAGGACACCAAAACAATGTGATGAAATTGGTTGAGAGCTTTGAAAAGCTGTGGATTTGGTTGGGGGTGGTGGTGATTATGAGTAATGTATGTCTCTTAAGAGCTTAAGTCTGAGCACTGAGTCACAGGTTTTTGGGGATATTTCAAGCTTATCTCAATACTGAAGACAGACAGACAGACTGTGCCCTTTATACTGACGTAAACTGTTTGTCTGTCCTCTTTGACATCCTGCTGTTCCTGTAACCATAGGCTATATTTAGAGTCAGTTAATGTTTTAGTACTGTATAGAGCACTCAATACAGATGTCAAAGAAAGTGATTGTTGTATTGATTAGTTTGGTATCACACGGACTGTTATGTATGGTACAGTAGAGCAGCAGTTGACATTCAGTGGAGGACAATCAAGACTGTATATCACTACACGTGTTGACACCCGGCACTTTGTCGCTATGTACAGTCGGGGACTTAATGTACAATGTGACTGAGCTGGCAGGCAGGGACAGTGGCGGGCTCAGGCTGTTTGAGGGGCAGGGGTGGGAAAATAGAAAGGGCGCCAGAGCACAGACAATTGTGATGGAATAATAGTAAAACAACTCACTCAGGCACCCGATGTGCAGTGTTTTAAACTTTAACATCGATCACCACCGGTGCATATAGATATATGGAACAATGAAAATCAGTAAATAAGCTGTAAAAAACTCACATCTCTAACAACAGTTGTGTTAGTCGGTTATGAAATAGAATCGAAGTTAACAAGTTAGAGATCGATTGAGACAAATAAAACAGCAGTTGATTTATTGACGTTTTTCACAGCAGCCATTTTGACATGAAATAGTAAGGTAAACACGGTGTTACTTAGGAATAAATGTATTAAAAAAAGATTATTTTGATTATGTTAACAGATATTGCGATATGATTCATGATTAGTGAGGGAATGATGATTTTTGAAACACAAATTAAATTTTCACTGAAAAAAAATGATGTAGAATGACAATTTGTAGAATTTGTAGATTCGTAGGTCAGGGTACTCTTCAGAACTACAGTACTTCATTAAAATGCTGTTTTGTCACACTTGACCTTTATCAAAAAAACTACAGCTTCTGTGATTTGCATGCCACATTGCAATGTTGATAATACTTTGATTAATTGTGTGTTACATACATTTAGTGTAGTAGAGCCAGTGAACCAACAAGCACAATAACCGCACCCTGATTCTGTTTGACCTGAATGGTACAGAACCTTTGTTAGTATCATTGGTAACACTTGGCTGCTGTGAAAAAAGTCTATTGTTTGGTTCATTTCCTTGTGTAGGGGGTATTTAAACTTTAGAGTGTAATATTCTCATAATCTGTGGGACTTTTGGTGCCATAATGTGCTGAAAAAGAAAAATTCCAACTCAGTCTTTAAAATGATGTATATGCAAATTTTCTCCAAATTTTCTGCATTCATTATTTTCTTTTGGGCAAACATAATGCTGACCTGCACTGTTCAGTGCCAGTTGAGTTAGCAGTGTGGCTCCATTGGCACCGTTCATATCCCAAAGGGAAAGTGAAGCAGTTGGTGTATCTGGATTTTGGCCCAACTCACACAGCGAGTGAGTGTATTTAAAGTTTTGTCATTTAACAATGAAGACAGTCTTTCTCCCAACTCTATCACTGGTTTGCCTTAACAAAACTACACCTTTAATGTACATCATTTGCCATGAATGGATAATAACCAGTGACAAATTAATGACAATGAACACATGGGGTCAGACACAATTGCTTTGCACTAACCAACCAGTAATAATAATAATAATAAAATTATATGATAATAAACTTTATTGATATAGAATGCAGCTCAAAGAGAAACAAATCAATGACACAGGTATTAAAAACAGTTGACATAAGGAGTGATAAAATAGGTGCCTGGCCTGTTGATGTCATTTTCAGTCAACATGGAAGCTGTGGTGGTACTTAGCAGTTAAACGCTTTTCACACTTTTCAAAGGACTGAGAGTTGCTATTTCTGTAAGTCAAGCATGGACAGCTGTGTCACTGCCATTTTTATGCAAATGTTTCTGGCTCTGGCACAAGAAGATGACCTTTCCATTTTTAATCCCACCTACAAAGCTCTGTTTGGTCAATTGTTTTTCTAGTGAGCTCAATGCCAGACTCAGTGGAACACAATGCTGGCAGCAGTTGTGGAGGTTGAGAACCAGGCTAGTTTTAGGGCAGATAGAGTTCC